GGGCAGGGTGCGCATCGCAGAACCTGGCCTTGGGGCGGCAGGGAGAGTAAATCCGGCCCTGGACACAGACCAGAGCCCAGGGTGGAGGAGAGAGGCCGGGAATGCACTGAACTTTCAGCGGCATTCTCAGCACTTTGGTACTATCAACTGAAATTTCGCTGCATCCCTAATAATGACGTTGACGCTAAATGCAATTTACACAGAGAAGATGTTTTACTGACACCTGGCGGAATCCTATACTGGCCCTTTTGTCACCCATCCGGGGATCTTGTTATCAGGACGATTGTGAATGAATGTGCGCTCTTACAGGTGGAGAGTGTGCGCTCTCCACCTGTAATCATTGCAAATGCTCCTGAGGAAGCGTTATATTCCACGAAACGCGTAGAGGATTATCCCGCCTGAGAGTATTTGTGGTATTGAGAGTATATGTGACTAACATAAATTTGGATGTGCACAATTATATTCATACGGGATAACGATGATACATGTTGATGTGCACAGGATGATTAATGACACACATGTGACCATGTTCGGTATGGTTATTGGTAAGTATCGATTTTATGGAATCATATTGATTAGTAATAATATAATAAGGCATTTTCTGTGGGTCTGCACCTGAAGATCTGGTTATTAATGATTGTTTGTGTATGTGGGAGTCCCCCCCCCCCCAGTATCCCCCAACTGGTATACAATAGGTGACATCATTTTGAGGAAGAGTTCACATTTTTAACAAGAGCCTAAAAAACACAACGCCGGCTCCCAGCTGGTGGAGAACTATCACACAAGAGGCAGAGAACATGAATGTAACAATATATAATATAAACGTAACATTTAATGTAAGTATCAGCTACACAGGGAAATTAGTAATTGTTTATTCATCTATTTCATATTTTTTACTGACTTCCTGTAACCGCAGTCTCTGGGACAGGAAGTGAGGAGAAATGGCCCCAATGGGGACGCAGTAAAAAAAAAAAAAAAAGCAGAGGATCTAACCGTTCCACGCTATACTGAAGACAGTAAGTGTGGGAATTCCTTCTTAGCAATAAAACCCTAGCGAGGGTTCTGACCCCTTCCCCCACTCTCTATCTGAGATATTAAAACAAATTCTAAGTGACACTTTTGAAATGACAATGGATGCCGATTCTTGATGTTGAAAAGTTTTAGTTTCTTGCAGATTTAGCTGGTCCTCTGAGCACTGGTCCTGATACCCTGTGTTAGGTTGGCTCCTTTCCCTTGCATGGTCCCATGGAGCAACCCTTGTGTGTGCTAGTAAGCTGTGTGTGTCTCCACAAACACAGGCACAGCAAGGCTCCCTGCTCCCCCTCCTCCTTCCTCCCTGCTCCGACTTCTCCTTCTTCCCTGCTCCTTCCTCCCTGTTCCCCTCTTTCTTCCTCCCTGCTCCCCCTCCCCTTTTCTCCCTGCTCCCCCTCCTCCCTGCTCTCCCACCTCCTTCCTCCCTGCTCCCCCTCATCCTTCCTCCCTGCTCTCCCACCTCCTTCCTCCCTGCTCCCCCTCCTCTTTTCTCCCTGCTCTCCTTCCTCCCTGCTCTCCCACCTCCTTCCTCCCTGCTCCCCCTCCTCTTTTCTCCCTGCTCCCCCTCCTCCTTTCTCCCTGCTCTCCCACCTCCTTCCTCCCTGCTCCCCCACCTCCTTCCTCCCTGCTCCCCCACCTCCTTCCTCCCTGCTCTCCCACTTCTCCTTCTTCCCTGTTCCCCCTCTTTCTTCCTCCCTGCTCTCCCTCCTGCTTTTTCCTCCTTGCTATCCCTCCTCCTTCCTCCCTGACTTCCCCCTCCTTCCTCCACCTCCCCCTCCTCCTTCCTCCTTTCTCCAAGCTAGTAGATGGATCTGTTGCAGTCTGCTCTCTTCCTTGTGATCTTGCACTGGACAGGAAGTTCAGGGAAGTGGCGCTGAGGCAGTTGCAGCTGTTTGGAAACATTCTGATTGTAATTGCTTGAGCACAAATGTAACGCAATACTGTGCTGGGTGATATATATTTGTTTGATCTGGATTCATTATTGAGAAACGTTTGTGCGTATAATAGCGCTTGAAGTATTTCAGTGTTGTCAGAGTGTGAGACCTCCGTGATGTCCGCCATGACTCCAAGGAGCCATCTAGGTTTTACCTGCTTTTGGTTTTTGAACAGTTATCAATCTTGTACACAACTCACGGCCCCCTTTGTGGCTTCTTTCCTTAAGGTCCTGTCCAATATAGCCATCTACCTGTGCACAATCACTGTCGGCATCATGTCCTACTACATGGCGGATCGCAAGCACCGAAAAGCCTTTCTGGAAGCACGCCAGTCTTTGGAGGTCAAACTCAACCTGGAAGAACAAAGCCAACAGCAGGCAAGTGGAATTTTATACATTTATTACCAACGTGTGATCCTTGTTTTCTGGTCTTATGTGTATGTGAGCCATGGGCAGGGCCATCCCTTTCATGTGGCTGTTGCCTCAGGCGGCATCTCTTTGGGTCATGTGGGAGGGCAGCAGGCAGGGCGGCATGGCCCTTTCCAGCCGGAGTGTCCCAGGTTGCTAAGAGCCGGTAAAGGCCAAAAACATCTCCCCACCCAGCTCTTAGCAACCTGGGACGCTCTGGCCGGTGTCCTGCCCAGCTCCTGGCAACCACTGATGTCACTGGTTGTCAGGAGCTGGGTGTGACGCCAGGCAGGTTGCTAAGAGCCGGGTGGAGAGATGTGTAAGGGTGGAGAGATACACTTCTCCAGCTCAGGCAGTTCTTAGCAACCTAGGACGCTCTGGCCGGCATCCTGCCCAGCCCCTGGCAACCTGTGATGTCACTGGTTGCCAGGAGCTGGGCAGGACAACCAGCCAGATCGTCACAGATTGCTAAGAGCCAGGTGGAGAGATGTGTAAGGGCCATACACTTCTCCAGCCCATTTCCTAGCAACCTGGGATGCTCTGGACGGTGCCTTCCCCCAGCTCCTGGCAACCACTGATGTCACTGGTTGCCAGGAGCTGGGCGTGACGCCGGCCAGAGCGCCCCAGGTTGCTATGACCTGGGCTCTGAGGGCCTCAGAGGGCAGCCTGCGCCACCACATCCCCCTCCCCTTACCCCTGCCACGGCCTCAGGCGGTAAAAAGTCTAGAGATACCACTGGCAATGGGTCAACAGGTGAATCGCAGCAGAAAAGGGCTACATGGCCCATTGAGTCTGCCTTTTATCCATCAAATACATATATATATCTGAGTCTGAAATGACAAAAACAGAAATGATTGTCAACAAGATGGGATGAAAGGAGATGAGAACTGAGAGGGGAAGAAACCAGGGAAGGTATAAGGAGAGGGAGAGGGTATGCAATACTCCTTACATCTGGTCACAGTACACATTCAACATCTCAATATATATTAACCCCTTCGTGACACCACAATGCCCCTTTTGCTGTGAGAACTAGGACTGCATAACCGTGTGTGCTCCTAGTTCTTAGAAGGATAGAGAAGGCTTGTTGCACTCCTTACCGGATGTCCCAGCTATTGGTGAAGGGTGCTCGGAATGACTGCGGAATGGCGCCGCTGGCTGCAGATCATGTAACAAAACGTCACCTGCACACCCAAAAAATGTTTGGATCCTCAAAGGATTTTTTGGTGTGCTCCTAGTTCTTAGGCCGCATGCCATGTCAAAATAGTCATAGAGTTATGGTCATGTGTATGGATGTATAGTGACCAGGGCCGGATTTCCCACAATGCCAACCAAGGCCCGGCGTCGGGGCAGCAGGGAGTAGAGGTGCAGCAGGGGTGTGGAATTATTATCTCCCGACACTCGGGACATGCAGTTCCGGGCGCCGGGTGGGTAGTTGTTTTCTACATTTAGCCCGGCTTTGGGCAAGCAGAGCTGAATGTACAGCGGGGAAGCCACCGCTTGTTTTGTACAAGTGATCTCAGCGACACTGTATGCAGTCTGCAGGTCTGCCTTTCTCCA